AGCTGCCGTATACAAAGGTGTTGAGCCGTCTTCTGCTGCTGCGTCTTGGTCAGCTCCAGCTCGTAGCAACTGGCGCGCAACTTCCAATTGTCCATTCTGAGCTGCCAAATACAAAGCTGCTTTCCTATCCTCTCTTGCTGCATCTTTGTCAGCTCCAACATCCAGCAACAAACTAAAAAAATCCAAGTGGCCCTCCTCGGCTGCAATATTCAAAGCCGTTGCTCCATCTTCTTTTGCTGCATCTTTGTCAGCTCCAGCTTTCAGCAACAAGCGCACAACTTCCAAGTGACCCTCCTCAGCTGCACAATGCAAAGCCGTTACACCATCGGTCAATGCTGCGTCTTTGTCAGCTCCAGCCTCCAGCAACAATTGCATAGCTTCCAAATGACCCGCAAAAGCAGCCACGTGAAATGGTGCCAACATAATGTCTTTTGTGACTCTCCGATTTGGATCCAGTGGCTTTTGAAGCAGCTGTTCAATTGCGTCTACATCATTCTCTTGACATTTGGAGCACAAAAGAAAGAGTTCCTCCTCTATCTTCTCATCGGGACAAAAGTCCATGATGACTAATTGCACACTTGGCCGTGGCTGTAAACACATGTCGTCCTGTAACTCGCCAATTCCTTCGCTGAAGAGCCTTTGCCGAAACCTGGAATATCCAATCTGATCTGCCAGGAGCCGCTTCAAGTCTCGAATTGAACTTCCTTGGACGACCATGGAATGGAGCTCATCCTCACGAAGCTCGGCGACAGTTGCGCCAGAAACAGCAATGACTTCCATGTTTTACGCTCAGAAAGGTCGGGACGTGCTATTCAACATGAGCATCAGTCAATGTTCAGTGCTGATTCAGTACTACAGTCAGTATATACCTCAACTGCAAAAAATACAGAAACTGAGACTGAGACCGAGACAAGCCCCAAGGATTGCAATTACTAGGCTGGAGCCTCTCTTTCACATAGATCAGGGATTGAGGGAGTATCTTAGCATTTGTGTAGAGCCATCCTCGCAGAACCACCTCCAACGCAATCCAAAGTAGTTCATGTGGAGCTAAAGTTCAATTCGTTCCACCTCCTGGGCCTCTAGAGGTTCAATGGTTTTTCGAGCACAACCCCTCCAAGCAAAAGAAACTCCCTCCAAGCACACCACCTGGACACCTGGTTTTCAACACTTCGGCGACTTTGATGTTGCCGCTTCGCTTGGATTTGAGGCTCCACGACTTCATCTCTTGAGCCCGCTGACTCTTGAACGAGCAAAGTCTCGCTTGACCTTCCAGCCTCTCCCAAAACCTTTTCCCCCCCCCACCGTGAAACCGAACCCGCCGTTGGCCCATGGCGGAACAGTGAACCCGTTTTCCACGAAGTGCTGCGCCTCTCTCGCACGGCCGCAGTGTAGTGGTTGAATTGCCAGTTGTTGTTCAAGATACTCTCGACCTTGGGCAAAGCTGCCAAAAAAATGAACCGACCAAAATAAACTAGCGCCGGGCGCGAGCCCAACGACATCAAAACATCAAGATTTCCTGCTGCACGCACGCGGTTCTTGACCATGTTCGGGCAATTGGCGGAAATGCTGTCTTTGATTCAAGTCACCCAAACATGAGGCCGCAAAACCGCAAAAAGAAAAGGGCGACAAGCAGGATATGACATCACGCATACTGGCTTTCCGTGTCGTCTGCTTCAGCGGATTCGCAGGCATCCCGCGCAAAAACCGGCGAGATCCGAGACAGCCCGAGACAACCCGCGAAAACCTGCCAGGCCTGGAACCCTTGGAATTTCATACTACCTTACCAAAAAGGATGGTTCTTGGGATGTAGTTGGGTGCTGTGCCACCGGCTGATCGACTCAGGCTGTCTATTCACTACCTCCGTGACCGTGAAAGGCACTGTTGGCTCTATTGAGCAGGACGACCAGCAAACCGTAAGCGATCCGGACGACGCATGCTTCCAGCTTGCCCAAGCAGCACTATAGTATACAAGCAAACCAGCAACAAACCCTGCGGCCTGCTTGGCCAGTGTGGAAATAGAGCTCAAAATGTGAACATGCAGTGGCACTGCAGTGGCATACGGCAAGACCCAGGCTTACAGCGGCCGAGCGAGCCATCCTGTGCACAAATAACGAGAGTGGGGGACCACGACAACCTAACCCAACATAGAGAAAGAGAGAGAGAGAGAGACAGAATGCCCTCTTGGAAATCCTTCAGATAGTCCTCTTGTAAATTTAAAAAGCCGCGCAATGTACAAGTGTATTTGGAGGAAAGCAGCTGAGATGAGAATAGTAAAGGCTTCCCCTGATAACAACCGAAAACGACAGTGGCTCAGTAAACACTTATTAACACAGCTGTTGCTTTTTGACTGTGAGTTCATGAATACAAAAGTGGCAATGGTGTTGACGTTCAAGGACACAGCCCGCCATGATGGAAAGAGAAAAGAAGCCGCAGAACAAGCAACAAAAAGCAATGTGTTTGCCTGCACTGACGCGGTTGCTGTATGGAAGTGATTGTCTGACTGTATGGGCATATGTATGTGTGGGCATGTGGGTGTGTGGTGCGTGTCATGGGCATGCATGTGGTTGAGTCACTTGTCTCAAGCCGGAGCCACAGAAATGGTCGCTCAAAAGAATTGCGAACAAAGCATACCTGGCACATACCTGGCGTGCGGCAGTCCAATCCAACACACATCACACCTTCCCATTCACCCTTGCGATCCACGATCTTCGGCCCCCGACCGTTTGAGAGTTGGCGGTGCCGTTGACCAGGTGCTTCGCCTCAGGACATGACGCGGCGGTCCCGCCTGAGTTGCCCAAGGGTTCCGTTTTCTCGAGGTCTTTGGGAGTGGGACACTCAGAGATCTGCAAAGGGATCGGCACCTCCGGTTCTGGTCACCTTCCTTAAAATCAGCATTTTTTTGGACTAACCTAGAAGAGGTCTTCCAAAATCCAGACACGCACTCCACTCGACCGTCGAGGTGTGCTGAAAACATTTAGAGAACATGGAGTGTGTTTCCTGGCCACCCCAATCCAAGTGCAGCTCCAGGCACATAGTGTGCCTCACTGAGGAGGGACGGGATTCCGTTCACCACCTGCGAGGTTCAGCGTCCGGGCGGTGGAGAAAGAGACCCAGACCAGGCAAGCCCAAGAGACAAACCAGAGCTTCACGATGATGGTCTTTAAAATGGTTTTATATAATATGTTTTACAGTAAAAAACACACACCGGGTGTCACACATCAATCTCCCAGAAGTGATTCACACCGTCACCGTCGCACAAACCTGCGAACACACGCTGGCACGAACCGCCGCCCGCACAACCCGCGTGTCACACGAAACCACCGCCTGCACGCTGGCGCGCCACAGCTTGGTGAGCATCTCCAGGAAATCCTCCAGGCATGGATCAAACACCTGCGCTCGTGTGACGGTCTCCGCGGTCGGAGAGACGCTGGCTGTCACGGTACGTCGTTTCGTCCCGTCGTTTGGGTCCCTAGAATCTGGGCCCAGCTGGAGGTGAACAGTGACCCACGGTCAAGATCTTGAACATCAGAGTTGGATCACTCTACACCCAGTCGTGCAAGTGGGTGATGAAAACCGGCCAAGCTGCTGACGCAAAGCACCCAGAAAAAGCCACGAATCTGTCCTACAGTCCGGATGGGATCGGTTCAGGAGAATCTATGGTCAACCGTCGATCCCAAACGATCGCAAGGCTGCCATCTCCCCTCCCCACATCCTCCACATCACTCCCTGTGATCACCAAAAAGGCAACAGGCAGGCACATCACTCCCTGTGATCACCAAAAAGGCAACAGGCAGGCTTCATTTGCTCCGAAAAGAACGAAGCACTCCGAGCCATGTTCTTCTCTCCGAAGGCCACGGAAATCGAGAACATCTTGCTGGAGCTGTCCACCTCGGCGATCGATCTGAAGCGGCGGGATCCGCTGACCCAGCTGTCGGCAGGGCCCAGTGGATGATGGTTTGTAAAGGCCTGATAGAAAAATAGTACAGTAACAATCCTTTACTGGCTCTTACTGGTAATGGGACAACACGCTAGTCATATCCATCATCCCAAGACTGTCCTTCCAGTTCAAACTCCTAGAAGAGCATAGCTGCCCTAGGCCCTGGGCGTCGTCCAAGACCAAGAAACGAAAGCTTCAGCCACTTTCGCCATCTTCCATCTCCCCATCACAATTGGTGCGACTGATCTCTTCAGGTACTTGATTTCATGGTGGCGCTCTTTCGCCATGATTTAGGTCTCGACTAGGCCAGGCAACCGCTGGGGTTACCTTCGACCAAAGACCCGACCCGCAGGACTGTGACGTCGAAGGCCGGGCTCTCGGGCGCGCTGAAAGAACTCCACAGCCGCCTGAAACAGCGGAGGTTCTGCTCCAACTTGCCGACCGGAGGCAGCGACTTTTGGGACTCCATCTCCCAGGGGAAATCGGGTGTAGATTTTTTGATGGTTGAATTGGAGTTCCTGGTTTGGGGGGAGAAGATGGTCGAAGTGGGGCACGATCCGGAACATGAAGCAGGATGAGCGGGATGCCTCGTGGCTTGGGTGTTCATCGGAATTGATTGGCAGCTTGGTTCCACTTCCTTGTCGCACCAATGGATGCATGGGAAAAAGATTCAACCAAGACTTCGATTTCTTTCCTCAAGCCATCATCTATATATATATATATATACATGTGAGGACCGGGCAAGTGTCAGCACCCGAACGAATTGTCTTTTTGAGTACGAGTACGAAAGACTGCATCATCTGGGATCGGTAGATGACCCCCCAATCCTAAAGCATGCGTTTCCCGAACAGAGTTTCCCGGGCGAACGAGGCTTCTAACCTCCGCTGGCCCTTGGTGCAGCCCCTGGGCTGCCCGACGTTAATCACCACCTTCGCCAAGCAGGCCTGGCCAGTCGTCTCTCTGAAGAGCCAAAAACCAAAAATATCTCCGGTGAACGTGTCGGCGTTGTACGAGTCATCCTGGATTGCCACTTCAGAACGAGCGTTGTGCGAGTCATCTCCGTGCCTGGAACATGTAGTCCACCAATCGCACACAATCTCCCAACATCTTCTTATCCTTGGAGACTCAGTGGCGTTTGGCTTGACAGTCCCAGAAACCACCATGAAAATCCTGGGTTTGGTTCTTCCCACTCCCCCCAAAAAAAGCGAAGTTTGCAAATGGGGTTCCCCCTAATAGATATACACGCGCAAATGGTGACTCTGGTGCCCCTTCGCAGGGCAGGTCTCACATGCTCCCAACCACGTACCACACACAAACAGCACGCCAACGGCAGCTCGCGCGCGCGTGCGACCCGCGTTGGTGCTGCCCAAAGGACGTGCACGGCCAAGCGGTGCCGCCGCGCGTTGTCGGAGGCCTCCTTTTTCTCCTCAGATTGGAGGCGCAAATCGGCGCGAGGGGGAGGCCGAGCAAGGCACGCGGTGCGGTGCTCGGGCGCGGTCCGCTTGTCTATGGTGGTGTTTGGATTTGTTGCATCATCTACGCTTACCTCTAAGATACCTCACTCACCTCCCAAAACCAGGAAAAGCCTTTGACGCTTTGGCGGCTGTTTGAACTGCCTCGAACCTGTTTGACCATGTTTGAATAGGAAAAGGACCATCGTTGGGGCGGTTGGTTGTTCAAACATCGAGCTCATCCTGCTTCTAACTGGGTGTCCAGGATGTTTTTCTGCGAGCCAAACCCACGGAATCCGCCGACTCGGGCCTCAAGGCCCGACGCTGAAGAAGGGTCGACCGAACTCTCTGCCCCAGACGGTCGACGACGAGGACCGACCGCCAACGCGAAGCGACCACGACAAGGCCCACACCTGCACCATGGACTTCATCCTTGGCCTGCCCAGTTGGATCAAGGGACGCGAGTCCTTCTTCCGGACGCAAACCACCACTGATCAGTGAGAGACGAATGAACCATGCGGAACGTTGCGGAAGCGCGGAAGCATGCGGAAACGTGGAACCATGGGCAAGTTGGCCAAACCCTGAGAGTTGCAGGAGATTCCAGAATTCCTTTTCAGGTGAGAGTCGAGAGGTGTCTGAAAATACAGGATGTTTGGTCTATCAATTCTAATTACTGTATGTAGTGCTCAAAGTCTGGATGCCGTCCTGGGGGACGTCTTCCAGTCTTTGAAGCCACACCAAAAGGACGTTCCCAACTCCGTCCAAACTCCACCTGGTGTGGACCGCGCCAGTCTCCCGTTTCCACCGAACTGGCCGCGCCGGACTGGCCGCGTTCTCGACGCGTCGCGGACTCGCCGCGGTGTCCGGCCATCGGTCGCCTCCCAGGCTGCAGCTCTTGCGGCTGCGGCTCGGTGGATTGACCTCGTCTCGTGGGGCGAGAGAGGGCGCGGAGAGAGCGCGCTCGGCCACATCGTGGTCGGGGCCAATGGGGGGTGTTGGGCTCCGCAAGATGGGATCAACCACCAATGGTCCGTCTAAATGAGTAGGAACTCCCTCAAGATCCATGGGGATACTGGATGGGATGGCGCCTCGAAGACTCGGAGGACCATGGCGAAGTTGGAAGACCATGGCCAGGTGGGGAAGTCACTCCGCGTAGCCATGATTACAGTATTTCAGGGAAGCTACTAGTAGTAAGATGTAGTAAGGCCACGAGCTACTCGTAGCGTCCGATCGCTCCGTTCGTAGCGATGCCCTTCGCTCCGTTCGTAGCGTCTTGTTCCTAGTAGCGATGCCGCTGCCCTTTGTTACTAGTAGCTTCTTGTTACTACTAGTAAGGCACGTGTTACTAGTAGCGATGCACTTGTTACTAGTAGCTTCTTGTTACTAGAGTGTACTGAAGATTGCTGATACCTTCGTGGATATTGGGTAACCCCCCGCCCGCTCAACTGAGCAACTGAGCAACCGATCCCGGCCCACGACAGGTTGAACCGTGCTTCGTCACGACAGGTTGAACATCCGTGTGGCGATCTGCGCATACGGCGCTTTCGTTTGCCACTTGGCCAAGTTCATGGACTTCCAAGCCGAGCGGATTTCAGCACAGAGATGGAAAATGACATCGCCCAAGTTTTCCTCCATCTGGTCCTCCACCATGTTCCTGTCACCGCAAGCTGTTCAATACATCCATCATCATCCATCCGCTCGACTCCAGTCCTCCATTCTTGACTGACCACCCCGCCCACTCCCACCCAACGCCCGCGACCGCCCGCGACGCCGTGTTTCTCTCGCCCAGCCACTGACCGCACTGACCAGCTGATCCAGCGCCGCCACGAGCTGGTTATGCAACTCCTCCAGCTCCTGAGAGGAGTTGGGAGGTCCCCGTTTTCCCTCACGGGGACGGTGAGATGTTTTTTTACCTGAGGTCCTGGAGTGTGGTCAAGGCGCGGATGGAATTTGGTATTACTTTCATGTGTTGCGGAGAAGTGTTTTCAAATTCCTAAAAGTCCCTAAGAAATATCGAAAATAGATATCGAAAAAAATACCAAAAAAAATTGCCCTCCAAAAACAAGTAGTAGTGCTCACCCAAGAACTTAAATTAGTCGTTCGTCCATCTTGACCCCCACTGGATCTTGCATCCAATCCGTGAATCTATCTCTTGGGCCACCTCTGTTGCCTTCGTCCAGCTTGCGACTCCGCGAGGTGGGCTGCCTTTTGTGGCGACTCCGACTATGAAGAGACAAAGCGACGCACCCTGGAAGGACCTGAAAGTCGGCGTGTCTCGCATTCGTCGGCCGTCCGAAGAAGCGGGAAACGCTTCTTACCGTACCTGGGCTTCTTTTGAGCCTCCGCCCCCGCCAGGACGGGCCTTCTGGGTGCCAGCGCCCGTGGAGGATCTCACGGTCGCCTAGCAGGTGAGGATCGAAGGACCGAACGTGCACGAGGGGAACTGCAAGCAGCTACAACTGTCTGTGCGAGCCAAGAAGTTCGGAGGCACCAGAAACGTTCCAGTTCGACCGTGGGAAGAGGGCAAAAAAAAGGAACGCACAGAAGGAGCACATCCGCTGGACCTAGGCTCTCGACTTTGGCATGCTCTATGTGAGCGAACTCGCAAGCTACAGACTCTATATGGATGTCCAAGTACGAAATCCAGGCGGGTGGTATTGAAAAATGGTACTTCTGCTACTCCAGCGACTTCTGCTACATCCTGTGCTGAGAACTTTGGATCACTCCTTTCCTGGCAGCACTTCCGAAAAAAGAAATCATGGAAGTGAAACCTAGCCCCGTTCGCATGACTATGCTCCTCTACAAATAGGTGGCGCCGTCCATTTCCATGATTATTTCTGGGAGTGTAGTTACAAGTTGTTTGTCGATCGAGTACTGGTGCTGGATGTGTCCTGAAAACCGCAAAAAGAAGATGTCCTTCGGTATCGCATCAAAACGGACATGTAAACGAATTTGCCTGCACCCACCATTCTACCCCGAACAGGGAAATCACAACAAGTATGTCAAAGGAAGGACTGTGATCATCGGTCATCGCATCGGATTCCAGGCGTTTGAAGGCGGATGACCCACGTCCGTTCCTGGAGATGAGGAAACGAAGCGTGATGCTTGCTTCATCCATCCGAGTTCATCCCATCCATCGATCCATCCCATCCACCTCTACATGACCGTGGCACACGCATGCACATGCATTCCAAGTTGTTCCGTTCGTGGCACACGCATTCCTCGGCCCGTCCGATCACCAGTGACGGCGACTCTGCCTGCTCCTTCTCAAAGTTCGCCAAGTCATAAGTGTTCGAGCCTCAGTTCGACCCGTCTGAACTGGACTTGACAGCTTGACAGCTTGCAGATAAAAAGAATTGGTCTCTCCTGTCTTCAAGAGACTAAAAGGATGGTCTCTGCCTCCTATCCATCTGTCTGCACACAACATCTCAGCCAAACAACTCACCAACAACCAACCGTAGGCGGCAGCTACATGAGTTGTGTCCAAAAAAAGATCCAAACCAAAGCTCGGCATGTCTCGACTCATTCCTCAGCACCCGTGCCAATATTGAGGACCTTCACTGATTCCACCTGCCAGCCGATAAAATGGCCAGCCCACCCCACAAACTTCCGAGCAAAACCAGTCTTCGACACACATGGGTGGTTTAATGGGGAGACCCCCAGGACCAATGGTAGACTGGTCTATTTCCCTTCTTCCAGGAGGTCTTTGGGAGGTCCCAGGATCAATGGTAGACTGGTCTATGGCCTCCCTATTTAAATACAGACCCACATAAACCATGGGCATCACCAGTGCTCCAAGGCACTGTTGCTAAGGCCTCTACATCACGTGTGAGCTTGTGAGCTCTCTTGGGTGTCTGATTGCAAGGCAAACACGGCATTCCCAGAGCGAGTGATTGTCTTGCACAACTGACTTTGTCGAACGGCCTGGCATTGAATTGCACCCATTTTCATCGTAAACTGAGCATTCCTGTTGCAGTTCTGTGCAAAGCTGCTGCCAAGGCTTCAAGCCCAGGGCCGTACTACGACCGCTTCGACAGTCTTCTGTGGAACACACGGCGCCTCTCAAGCCTCCTGGAGTCTCGCTCCTGAAACCTAGCGTTCCGAAGCTTCGGAAGAGGTCAGTTGGAACGAGAGACTGTGTCACCGATGCTATGTACAGCTGTACCATGTGGATTCCTTGCATGAATTCGAACACTACACCACCAACTCACTTCTCCGAACCAAGGTGAGAAGCTACCGGAAGATGAAGGGGAAGAGATCAGCCGCTTTGCAAGTGCTCATTGAACCGAGGGCCACCCGCAAAACCGCTGTGGCGGGCACCGAATTGGGCGGCAACTTCTGTGCCCAGCTAGCTTGGCTGTGACTCGTCTGCTTCGGGGTCCTGCACAGAGTTCGGGCCATCTGTCTCTCCATACCTGCGGTAGGAAGCGGTAGGAAGCTGAACGTGTGTTTTTTCAGATGCCATGGCCCTGTGCCTTTTCCTGTTTGAGTGCAAAAGATTGCTAGAAATCGATCCGATAAACATCAAGGTCTGCTTGGCTCCTCAGACAGAAAGACGCCACTTGAACTCATGGTGCCGGCCGTCGTGGAACTGGCATTGGTCCTCGGTCCGAACTGCAGATCAGCCAGAAAAAGGTCGGAGTCAACTCGACGCACGGTGCAATCAAGAGGTCACTTGGGCCAGCGGGTCCATGGTCCATGCCTTCCAATCTGTCTTGCACCGTGGTGATGTACAGCGGGGACATCTCCAAAAGCTGAGGTAAAAGCCCAGAAATACCCCCTTTTTTTCTCCTGAAAATGTACAAACCCATTCTGTATACCTGGGTTGCTCAGAGGAGTCCCCAACAACGGGTCAATGAACATCCTTGAAAGCATGTCGGTTCCTGATGTTCGTTGGTCGACATCCAGGTGTACACCTACCATCAATGCGTCCAACATATTTGATGTTTGGAATACCTATATAGACGGATTCAGGCAAGAGCGTTCCACAAAAGCTCCCTTTGGGTCAATCGTGCAACTGCAACAAAACTGGCGACATGACATGAGATTCAGCCTAGGCAAGCCAGGGTTTGAAGCACAGCACTCACACACTCCAATATATCCTAGACGATTTGCGACTGCCAAACAACATAGCACCGTCAGTGACCGTCCGCAAAACCTCGAAAAACCCTGGCCAAGGCACTCCATCGAAGGCCGCCGAGAGCCCTCGTTATTGTTGCCCGTCGTCACCAAGTATGGGTGGAACCTCACACCATCCTGGCCAAGGAGTGTCACGAGTCGGGACAGAGTGTTCGCCGGTGACAGACCAGCGGGCAACGCATAGATCAACCGTTGGACCTGGAAATTCGAAAGAACCATAGTTGGAACTGGGAAAGTACAGGAAGCTCTCTTTGTTCGCATCACCTAAAGAGGATGTGCCTTGGACTCTGAACAGTGATGTTCCAAAACCCGTGTACACTTTCCTCGCCTCTGAGGTCCGTAAGACATCCACCAACTCTTCATAGTAGCACTCAATGCGGGAGTCACCATGCTTCAGATTGTCTCGTAAGACTCTCAAGACTTTCTTGGTGAAAACACCTCCAGTGATCTCATCTCCTGGATCCAAATCTGAAGAGGCGTGATTTTTCAATTGAGTTATCAAGACCTTGATAATGATGATCATGCGGTTCCCAGAGACTGAAAAAGGGATGTCAAAACATGTCAAAACCACAGAAAATACGTCTTGTTCTGATTGATGATTGATTCCATTTGAGCGGCCCGAAGCCCAAAGAAGATGCACCCAAGTCTCCTGGTACACGGCGACCTGGATGACAAGCAAACAGGATCCACGCTTGGGCTTCACTATTTCGCAGAAGACGATCTCCGCTGGACAAACGAAAGGCATCGGGACTTTGACCAAGCTCATATCTCCATACCCAGATCAGCCTATCCAGCCGCTCAGAGATTTGCAAGCATCCATTCATCATGACGTGAATTTTCGCATGTCGGCAGCCCGCGATATTGCTGAGCCTCTTCACCAAAGTGAAGATGGACACTCCGTCACCCCAGCGGCGAGCATCTGCTGGTAGGAACTGGGGGCTGCCAAAGTTTGTCTGGGAGTGACAAGAGATGTACAAGAAGATTGTAGACCGTACAGCTCCACCGAGAAACTGCTGAATCTGATGCAGCATTGCCTCGACGTCGTCCTTCTTCAAGTTATGCCATGGCAGCACCTGCAACGTGGCTGAATTGGAGACATTGGACAGTCATAGGACTTCGTTGATCTGTTGGCAATTGATTGGGGGCGTTTGAGTCAACTATCGCTTGAAGATGCTTGAATGATCTTCATGCCGAGAGCCGGGCAGGGGCAGGGCATGATTTCGTCTGACATAGTGCTTCTTCTATATACGACATGTTCTCCGGTGTCCCCTGGTCAGTGTAGATTCCTGGTTCCAACTTGTTAGCTTGCAGCCAGTCTCGGCCCTGTCCGCACCTTTTTGGTGACCCAAAGAATTGAACCCAAGGAATTCGACGGTCGACGAACCGAACGGGTGCCACACGCTGTAGGCAGCACCATGTAGACGAGAACCTCTTGTCTTCTTCCACAACCGCCATAGACGGCAGCGCCATCGAGGTTCGTACTGATGAAGAGATTGATGAATCAAGTGGCTATCCCAGACGCAACCCTGGACCCGAAATTCCACTGGAGGGATCGGACCCAAATCCTTTGAAGGGGCCTGCATTCTCAAATCCCCTGGTTTTGAGGGACCAAGGGCTGTTTGGAGCGTCTGGGATGTAGAAAAATAATGCTCTATTGCTATGGACAAATTGATCGGCCTGAAGCTTTGCACATAGACACCACGATGCAAATTCAAAAAAGAATTCCCCTTAAAAGAATAGTGGAGGGATTCGCTAGCATCGTGTCAAAGTGAGCATGCGTTGGAACTTTTCTCGGGCGATGTTGGAATTGTACACGCTTGATGACAAAGGCCGGCTCTGATAATTCTGATGTTCGAGTGAAAACACCACTGCTGGTGATTGAGTTTGTATCTATTCTTTATGAGTTCCGCCGTTTCATCAGCTAGAGATCCCTTCTGTCCTTTTGCGATACAATGTAAGGTGCTTGTGTGGAATTGAATTTATGATACTAGGAATGATTGAAGCTTCAGTCATGCTTATCAGGAATTGAACATTGAATAATCTGCCGAAAAGCGAAGGCCTACTTCAAACAAAGATTTAGAGTCATCTTGTATTAGAGAAGCTTGCAGCGCCGTAAAAGGCAGAGGTCATTCATCTCGAACGTGTCCATGCTAATGGTTCTCCTCCACCAGCTACATTAGTTTGGGAAGGGCATCCATCAAAAGTGTTTGGTCGCAGCTGCACCTTCCAACCCATCTCCTCCAGCCACGTGACCAGTTCTCTCCAGAAACGATCATACACTCGTGGCCAGGTTGTCTGGTTGAGATAATCCTCCACTCGGTCCGAACACTGCTCAAGGAACGACATCCACAAGATGTGACTGAAAAGGACTGTGTTCGTCTGTTCCCTTTTTAACAAGTTTGATTTACAAAGACTTGGACGTGTCCGATCATCTCCCATCTTTCTCCCTCTCCGAACAAACCACTGATTGCACCAGTCCTCAATATTAATGGGCACTGCTATGGAAAGATTCCGCCCCCCAAACCCAGGTCGAGGTGAAGGTTGTGTCCGTGAGCGTGAATGGTATAATCGCCAGCCACACAGAAAGAGACCTCTGATGACTCTGATGAATGCTTTTTCTGAACAAAGGTTCCGGGGTACACTGGCAGCTCTAAATGGTCCAAAATGCGCATACTGTACGAAGAATAAGGTTTCTGTCAACTGTCAAGCACAACATTGATGGAAAAATTCGCACTGGTAACTAAGCCATTGGCAGACTGCCGCGAGCATGAGCATCAAGCCCCAAGCAGCCCACCAAGCACAGACTTCTCTAGCGGCAGCTGGAGTGACATCTTGCCAAATGTGCTGAAAGCTGAAATACGCCACCAACAGAAGCGCCACAAAGAGACCTACGACTGGAGAAAGCATCTTCATGCACCAGGAACAGCACCTCCCGGAGGAAATGTCTGTCCCACTCCTCTTGAAATAGAATCGACATAGGAGACCTGCTGCCAATAGAACACCAGCAGCGCTCCATCCGACCGCCGCAGCGAAGTTCTGGTCACAAGTCTCTTGTGAAACGCACATCACCTCCGGAAGATCTTCAAGGCAGCAGGGTCTCCCTTTGAAGACGGGAACCTCAGATATACACGATGGCCACAGAAGAACATCCCCACACCTCTTTTTTTGGTCCGTTTTTCTCCGTGTTCTATAGGAATCGCAATGTTGCAGGGCTTGCAAGACAAAAGGACCAGGAACTGAGACCTTGTTCAGCATTTCAAGACCTGCAGCTAGGGCTCCACCATCCAGGGCAATGCAGCTGGGCTGTGCCAACATGTGGTGCCCAAATTGCGGCAACAGCTTGCGCCAGCCTCAGCGGTCTGTCTTTGGGAGGGACTGTGACTATGGAGCAAATGTCGCACCTCTAAGGGCGGCACCTTGCGGTGAAATTTGTCTGCACAGCACTGCTGCCCCTCAAGTGTGATTCCACAGATCTGTTCCTGCACCAAGCCACAGCAGCAAAAATAGCAGCTCATGGAGTGGAACTGGGACCCTGCGGCCTGCGGCCCCTAAAGCTAACCACCAAAACCCGCCTCGCCATTGCAACAAATGGCAGGATTTCCATGGCAGGCCCGGCTGACGAAGGGCCTGGCGTAGTGCTGGACATGAACGACGGGATCAGCTCAATTCAACCACCATGCGCATATGCCAAGCACTTAGGGGCAACTTTAGTCCGTCCTGATGCTACATAAGCCCCCCGAAGCCTGCCTCCGGCAGCAGCGAATATCGCAGAAGGGTGCCCAACCATCGGTCTGTGCATGCTGAATGAAGCATGACCACTTGTCTCTCCGGTGCTCGATCTCATAAAGAAGCTCTATTTGATTGCAGCAGCATGCTCCATAAGACACACCTCTGGACTGGTTGTCCTTCATGAAGCACCATTCGCCACTTCGACAAACGGACTGATGTTTGCTGAAGCACTTGTCATGAGAAACTGGAGGAGCAGTTGCACAGTGAAAGTGTGCTTCCTGAGTGTGCCAACAAAACCTCCAATCAACCTCTGAGCAAACCCAAGAAGGCCCGCGTGACCCTCTCAAGCCAAGATGCGCTCAGGTTCAAAGGAGTGCGCTCCACCTGGGAAATGCCTGGCATTGAATCGGCATGCACCACTTGAAGGCCGTGATCGTGGCTCTTGCCCAGGCAGAGGACGATGCAGCCCAATGCCAGAAGCAAACGCATGTCAAAAAGCCGGCCACCTGAAGCCATGGCAGGTCCTGGTGGTGACAGAGCCAAACTGCTGCAACTTCGTCGAACAGCTCGGACTCACAAGGGACTCACATGTTAGCCTTTCGGTGGGACATCTTGTGCTGTGCGAAACGACGAGATGAAGCTAGGTGCAGGCTGGCAGACAAAGACGTTGCATATTCAGCAAACAAGGATGGAGAGATACCAACAGAAAGCGTCAGGGGCGTCCAAGTGTGTCTTTCGGAGAAAAGCAGCTCTGTTCGAGGACTTGAGATGTCCAGCAAAACTCCCTGCTGACACAACTTTCTCATCTACATCGATTAGCCAAGGGACACCCTGCCACATCAAGCCACATTGGTGGGTTTGGGCTGCCCCATCGGTAGCCTCCTTGTTCCTTCCCGCTATAACTCACATGAGTTCATATCCACCTTTAGTCTAAGGGAGGCTCAGTCATTTGACCCACCTGTCTCATCCCTGGCAATTTTAAAGCAGCAAAGCCAAGTTCCAGTCATTCTTGGATCCTCAATTTCTAGAAAGGTCACCACGCACCGCTTCTTGAAGCATCTCAAGCACCCAATCTCCTGGCAGGTCCCTACATCTGCGACCCAACATGTCTGCAGTGCTCCAATCGCACTGCTTCGCGGAGCTGCTCCGCAGAGCTGCTCCGCGGTCTTCGGACCTTGCCTCCTGCATCAGGGATTGGATCTTCACCAAGGGGTTCACGAAGAGCGGCTTGGAAAGGAAAAGGCGCCTGTTTTTCATACGCCGCAGCCGACCGACGGAGCCTCATGGGGAACACGTAGTCAGTCGCGTGCTTTCTGGCCGCAAGGTTCCGCAGACGGTCAGACCGTTTTTCCGTTTATAGGAGCACTCAAATGCCCCAAAGGCTTTAGATCCATTCAGAAGCACTTCCACACTTTTGCTTTATTTCGGACGCACATGAGGATGCTCATGGCGGGAGTGGTTCTTCTTCCCCATTCTTCATGCGAAGGAGGGTCCCATTTCACAGACCAGGCAAAATTCTGCCCATTTGGGCGAAAGCGGTCCCAGACGGCGGTCCCCTCAAGTCTTTGAGTCAGACCCCTCATCCCGTGGAAACCGTTCCTCCCGTTCATCCCGGGTTTCAGATCACATCGTCATACTCCGTCCGCCCATTCCGATCCCCTCCCACCAGGTGTCCAGTGTTCGGCATCCGACCTCACCAGAAGCTTTCGTGCGTGACAGTACCTCCACCGCCCCAGTCGTGCCCGTTGCGGCGTCGAAAACCCATCTGGCGTCGTCTCCTTCGTGGGCACCGTGAGGCGAGCGATCGTGACCGAGACACGGGTGGGTGGGACGAGACAGCTTCCGCCAGAAGCTGAGTTCTGGAGCGAGTTGAGGTCTGTATCTCGAAAAAAGAACGATGCGTTCGCGATCGTCACAGAGACCTTGAAAAAAAAGGAAAGGGTCTGAGACGTTCATCCGGTGTCCGAGCGAGAAAGAAATCATCACTCCCATGCGATCGATCGAAAGGGCGGTTGGTTCCATGTGTCCTGGAAGTCGACTCGACTCGACTCGACTCGACTCATCATCGGTCGGATGAGTGATGAGTGTGCGGCACCTGGGTAGAACCTGGTCATGACTTCTATTTTGGACCACCAAACACCTCAAATATGGTCCAACTTCCTATCACACCCAACTCGCGATCCAACGGTTTGCACCTCTATGCCCTTCCACTAGGTGGGGTAGAGGGTCTTTTCCGAAAGAGAGGTGCCACCTTGAAGAAAAAGGCTCCTTCCACCAAACATCAACCCGGGAGATCTCTTCAGATCGCGCGATGAACGACTCACTCCGCTCGGACTCGTGAGTCTCGTCACACGAAGAAAAGAAAACCGATGCCACTCTTCCGCTCGCTCACGTGGTGAAGCGGCTATGCTGCTTCCAGCGGCCAAAGACCTGGAGACGGTAGGGCGGTGCGCGGTGACAGACCGCTAGGGCCCCAAAAAGAAGAACCGAGTTAGTTAGGTTAGGGGGAGTGTAACTCTCCATGGTACCATCTCCGTGTTAGGAGTCGGGAGTGTACACTCCTTGAGATGGTGACACGAACCGACTCCTCACATGGAAGTGCTCAGGCACCCAACGTAAACTATAGTCTTCCAAGGGCTCAGACTTCCGCTTCCATGTTAGTGAGTCGGAGTGTAAGTGGAGGTGGAAAGCAACTTGTTTCTTCAGATGTCATGGTCTTCCACTTCCATGATTGTTTGAATGTAGGCACCCAGTGAACATGAAGTCATCAAGAGAGACAAAACTGTTGAAATCGGGGTACTTCATGGTTTTGAGGTGACTTGGGCAAGGAAAATTCCACCCGGTTGGCGATCCAAGGTGGCTTGAGGTTGGGTTGTCCGCAGCTAAGACCGCATCCAAAAAAAATGTGTATATCATTAAAACAAAAAAGAAAAACAATCTACACCGCTCAACCGGGTTTGCGTGGTCGCCTTGCCACCCGCCTTGCCATGGATGTAGTACTTGAAGAAGTTCATAGAGGTGAGCACGTTGTACATCAGGCACTGATGCATCCTCGGCGCCCGGTCGATGTTGGGCCAACGGACCTTGTTGAACAAGGGTTGAAAAGGTATAAAATCCGGAATTCACAAGCCACTGGAGTCACTGGAGTGGATGGAAGCCTAGTTCTGTCGTGCTTTGGGGATTCTTTTTGGAGGGAAATCTGGCCTTAAGTGCCTTCCAACCAGAAGGAATTGCATTTCTCTCATGGAACCAGGCAGCAAGCTGATCTGTTCGATCCTCACACCATGCTGAGTCTCACATTCTTCCATCTGTCCCACTCGTGGCATGACAGTTAGACTCCTTTAAGGTACGAGGAAGACTGGGAAACAAGGGTGTCGGGGAGGTCTTCATACTTCAACGTGGATGACCTAAACCGACCTGACCGACCTGCTCCTTTTCATCGGCTGCGGGGTGAAACGACGCATCCGGGCCAGGCCCAATGCAGATGGGCAAACTACATCCACGGCTCTACGACTGAACCATCGATTTGGAAGGCGCCGTTGCACGGCGCCGGGTTCCGGCGCGGAATCGAAACATCCAGCGTGAAGAGAACGAACGTCGCCGCATCATGTCCAACTCCTAGAAGGAATCACTGGGAGATATCTGGTATCATGGTAGGTCTATCATGCTAGAAGCATGGCAAATCTACTTAAGAGATAACAAATATCTACCTAATAGATCGAACCATGAGAGACATCTGTTATCTACCTAACAGAACTCCTAGAAGAAATCTGCTAGGTCTATCTGTTCGCGGTATCTATATATTATGTTTTTGTCATGGTCAAACTGACAAGGCTGAAAGCGCTTTCTTGAAGCTTTTATCAACAACACCTTCCAAGGTTGTCTCATGTTAAAGTCCTTTCACACAAACAACCGGCAAAATGTGGACATCGCAGTAACATTTGAATCTGCTGGACAGTGTTTTTGTACCCCTCGTTTTGCACCAAAGGAGAACACATCAATTGGTGCATCAATACAGGACATATCATCAGTCATCTGAAATCCAAAAGACTGGGTCAAGAGGTTAATCTGAAATCTGAAATCTGGGAGGGATGCAACTCGTTTCATTTCATGTCGACCTGTGCCTGTTTTTTTCTGGTTCGACCCTGTCTCTGTCGTCCAGCCGTGATCAACCGCTGGAGCGCCAAGGCCATCGACAGCAGACCGGAGACTGGAATCAAGACATGGGAGTCGCCAGAGCTCGCCATGTCGCCATGTTCGAGCATGTTCAACCCTTATAATATGGAGAACCAACCACCCAAGAGCCGATGGTTTTCTTCACAAAAGCGAGCAAAGGTCAGATGGGTTCCAGAGAGCTGCACCAAACCTATAGGCCTGTTGATATCCTCAAACAAATGGTTCATCAAGAGCCGAAAGGAATGTCATAGGTGGCAACAAGTTGTGGACAGAATAGGTTGTTTGGGGCTTGGGCGGTCTTGGTTTGCGGCCCATGCAAAGAAGAAAGAAGCTCCAATCGATGTCCAAATCCATCTGACATGCCTGCTGTTCCGTTCGGTTGTTCGGTCCGGCACGGGTCCGGGGATGCGCCTCCTCCCCATGAGGTAGACGATGTTTCTGTTGGTCTTGAACAACACGTTTGTCCGTTGGTCATCCGATTCCTTGCTCACATCTCTTGATTCTCAGCCACCAGCCCTACCTTCTTCACGCCTCACTCTGGGCTTTCTCTATGCAGGACCCACCAATCCAATGTGCCAATGGTCGGAAGTTGTGTCCCTTAAACTCCTGCGCCCAAAAAGTCCCCAACCCTCAACACCTCAAAAGGGCCAAGGATGAGACCCTGGCCATCGTGGCCCTCACCCAAAAAGACCATGGCCTATCACCACAGCATCTCGACGATTGCAAGGATACATCATTGGCCAGAGTCTTGGCCGTGTAGGACAGGGCCACTCAAGAAGATGGTGGAGCAATTACTTTTCTTGACCAAACTTAACATCCAGACACCCGGACATGGAATCAACCAAACCTCTGCATGTTTGCATGCCTCTTTATTCAGACCACCCAGATTTGGGATCACATCCCGGCACATCCCGGGGGGTCAACGCCCAGAAAAAGAGCTTGTGCCTCAAGATGACTCTTGGCCAGGAACCACATGGGCAGATGGATCATTTCGGTGATGAGTCCCTTGGTACTGATGTCTGTGAGCGTCTTTTCGGGGAAGTATACATCTATGATTAGCAGCCTGCACGTAACGTAGTTCCAACGCAGAAAGTGCTCTTCCACATCGCGTTGGCCGCTTGCAAGTAGGAGGGTGAGGACGACTCAGCAGAAAGCAGTTTGACCATTTGTCTTTACAGTGCATCGAAAGCTCCAAGCACAGGGTTACTGCCCCACCTTTCATTTGATCGCCAGGTTCTGTCACAGGCATGCAACATACTGTTGACACGGTTTTCAAGGTTGTCGACCTGTGGTCGCGAACTCTGCGTCCACCCCTCCCACCGGTTCGCCCGTGTCATTGGGAGCGTCCGAGACGGAGCAACCAGGCAGCTTTTCGGATGCTTTTTCAGAAACATGGATCAGGACCTTTCGGAGGGTGACCCTGGAAGCAAAACTGCATGCCCCCTTGGGCTGGTCTGGTCATGGGGGGGCAAAAGAACACCATCCGGCGGTTGGGTAGAGATTTTCCCACAAATCGATGGAAGAATGAAACAAGCCTGCATCAACCTGCAAGGAATGGGGTTCCAAATGAAGGTGTTTGACTTCTTTCCATGAGATCCAATGGGGATGTGAGCCTAAAACCATGGTTTCTTGGTCCATGCCACATTGTGATCCTAAAACCAGGTCTCAAAGGTTCCGAGATCCGTTAAAGGTCACAAGATTCGGACGCCGAAGGAAAGATCGCGACCTGAGTGACTATTCTTAAGATAGGCATTTCAGCCTCGGCAACCAAATTGAAGTTGGCATGTGGGAACTGCAGAGGACAAATCATGACCCAGCATGTACACGCGAGATTCGAGGCGAATCCCACTATAGGTTGTCTAGGTTGTCTACTGATTAGGTGGCTTTAAGCTGAAGTGGTGGTTGCCAGGGGGTTGCCAGGTCTTTGGGATCTGAACGAGAGTTCCTTCCACCCCCAAAAGAGGAAGCCCTTTTGGAAACGCCGTTTTGACGAGGCAAGTCGTTCCACGTGGATCCCACGAGGGCGTGGATCCCATGTCCTTTGTGTTTTGAAAGTGACTCCCGAGACCTTGATGCAAACACACAAACCCGTCACACCATCTACAACGAAACTGACATGGAGAAAAAGACTGGTGCACAAGATCGAGAGATAGAGAGAGAGAGAGGGCGAGAGGGCGAGAAGGCGAGAAGGAGAAAGAGATAGGAAGAGAAGGAGAAGGAGAGGTTTTGAGGGGGAGGGCAGTGAATTTTCTATCTCGGGCTCTAAAACGATCGGCTAATTTGATTTATGCAAGGCTCCGCAATAGTACTGCCTTCCACGAATCGCACGCCGTGAGCCTGGTTTGACGCCCTCCGGGCCGCTTTGGCAGATCTGGAACTCGCCAACCGCTCCAGCCGGTCGACCGCTGTTTCCGCACGAGTGAAGCCAAAGCCGCAGGTCAGAGGGGCTGTTACAGCATCGTCGGCTCCTTCGTGTTTCTTCAACATTGGAATCCCATGTGGTCTCCAGGCGACGAACGACAAACACGAGATCCATGCGGTCCATGCGCCAACCTCCGGGAAGAACCCAGGAGTTTCATGTCGGGGTACGAGCTTCGAGGTGACGTCGTCGGGGGGTGCGATGGGACTCGAGACCATCGGAGCTACCGGGAAGTCAACCCATGAGCACCAGACACTCAGCCCCGTTCTGAACGGCCCGTGTCTAAGGGCAAAGACCTGAGACACGTGTCCAAGGTGCTTCACCTTCAAAACAAAAAAAACATGTGGAGATGACCACCATCGTGGAGTTGAGTAGCAGTTCTGCAAACCTGGGAGAAAGCCCAAGTCGACTTTGAGAAACAAAGAAAACGCATGAAGATCCACTCTGCCCAAAGACGTCCACATCCCAAATCAAATGACATTCTGATGAAGATGCGATGATGTGCCTCCTCTGCCCACAGCCAATGGCCATCGCTGGCACATGGCCGCTGGCACGCACCGAGGGTCTGTCTTTGTCATGCGTGAAGTAAGTATGAGCATACTTGAGGTCGATTCTAGCCCAAAACATCCAAACACTTGCTGCTGAAGCAAGAGCAACTCCAGCTGCCGCTGGAGTTCGCGGTCGCTGGAACGTGAGTTCCTGTTGGCATCCCAGCCCGGCCACCCTCCAAACTGTTCTATGACGGGGACCAGTACCTCACAAGATGAGGATGGAAGTGACTGTCAAACACTGAAGAGGACCAGAGGGGACCAAAGGGGACCAGAGGACTTGACCGGTGTCCAAGAGTCTGGAGCTTCACACGACCAATTGGTGTCCATCCAGTAGCGCCCCTTATATAAGCACGCCCAAGCAGGGCATCTCTGGGGCTGGATATCTTGGAACCTAAAGGGGCTGGAAATGCGGAATTCACCGTCCAGATTAGAAATATATATATATATATCGGAGGTGTCTCTACCCTTGATCATAGACGATCATTCAAGGCTGTGATGCCGATCTTCTCGGGCGACCTTCAGTGCAAACATGCCGCTTCTGTGGTAGTTTCCCACCCGTCTGCGTCGAAAACGCGTCGCCTCACTTCGCATACCGGACGGAGGAGACCTGGGTCTTCCGGATCAGCGCGGCGGCTTCGCCCACACGATCCAAGAGGTTCTCTCTTCGCTTCTTGTTACTAGTAGCGATGCCAGCCCCGTTCGTAGCGTCCTTGCTCCTAAAGGTAAGGCCAGGAGCTCCGTTCGTAGCTTCTTGTTACTAGTAGCGATTCTTCAGCATATGGGGATGGGTTGTGACCCACCTGGAGCCCGACCAGTCCATCATGTAGCGAAGGAGCGCAAGTTACGTCGGTAGGTCATCCAAGGAATCCTGTTGACCCACAGCCATATCGGACCCTTGGGTAGGT